CAGCGATACACACTTTATTAGCGAGGAAGGAAACAGTGAAAGCAATCGGGCTGTGGCCGGCCGTGCGCGCACATCTGTGGTAAGAAGCGAGGCTCACACCGCACTACATCAGGTGGCGGAGGTCCTCGAAGTTGAGCATATTGTTGGCTACATCGGACCAGGCTGCGTGGCTCGCCCCGTCCATCTCTGGGGCCAGGCTGTTGCTGCTSTCCAGTGTGTGGTTTGTGCCGCCGATGACTTCATGGCATTCAGGGCACGTACTCCTCTGCATTGCTCCCCCACACTCCCCAATCACRTAGATATGTCCATTTTTGCACTTGAACCAGTGGCCCGGGCGATAGCCAATAGCAGTGACAATCTGCACCCGCTCAGCTTCAGAAATCCCCAGCCCTGACACAGGCACAGTGGAGAGAGCATTGATCTTCTCCAGGTGAGCCTTCACTGCAGCCTCATCCTYCTCCGTGAATTTCCTTGTCCCTTCCAGGATCTCACGTGCATCATTAACCTCTGCTGCAATGTCTCGGGACATCATCCTACTTGCTTTGCACCATGTCAAGAGGTTCAGCAAATAAGTCAGTCTCTGGATCTCAGACTGCAGGTCAGAGAGCTCCTGTCCTGTAAAACTGATGCGTTGCTTATCCAGCCACTCCTGGACTTCATCCAGCCTCTTTCTCAGCCCCTTCTTTTCATTCGCATCAATTTTGTCCATAGAATGGATTAAGTCTGCTACACGTTTGTAGAAATTAATCAGGTTCTCAATTAGTCCGATACTCCTTGTGGAGAGGGAAAAAGCTTTTAGTTTATCTAACAGCATGGCGTACTTAGACCATAGAGTTTTCCTTAGGTCAACACTCTGCAGCAGGGCAGCCTGCAGTCTTTTTCTGCTAGATTCAGTTTCCTGTGCTGGGCCTTGGATTTTCTGTTTCACTCGTTCTATCTCCTCCACCCGCCTTTTCACACTGGTGCCATATCTCAGATTCTTTCTGATGGGTGTCTGGCACATAGGGCATACCTTCAGCTTGATGGCATCATCATCTTCATCCATATAATGGTCAAGGCCTTGTGACTCAAAGACATGGCCACAGTCTTCAAGCTGTACAAATCGAGCATCTGGGTCATCCTCAAAGCCAAAAAAGATCTGAGTGAGCTCCTCATGGTCACAAACAAGGCACTTCTTTGGACAGGGCTCTCCACACAATCCAGCACAGGGATGACCACAGGGCAGTATCTTAGGACATGGAACATCGCAGCGAGGCCTGTTGCACGGCTCAGAGCAAAGGTTGGTACACTGGTAGTGCTGGCACCGCCACTCACATGGCTCGGCACAAGGAACACAGCTTTCCCAACATTTCTTTTTGCACTTACTGTGAATACAGTAGTTCTCACATTCYTTCTGACAAGGAGGGCATTCTGTAGTACAAGGCTCTTGACACTTGTGGGAGCAGATCAAGAAGCGCTTGCATGGGCTGTTACATGCCTTATGAAATCTTCCTCCAAAGCAAGTATGACATGAACCTGAACATACATGACCACATGCCAGTGTGACAGAACATTCAGTCATACATTTCACAGTCTCTTCACAATCCGTAGTAGTGATCCAGCATTCAACTTTCTGCTTGTGGCCACATTTCAGTGTGGCTGTAACCTGTTCAGGACATGGCACTGTGCATCCCTGCCCACAGGAATCCCTGCATGTGTGTCCACAGTTTAACTTCTTCTGGCAAGGTTCCAGGCACTTAAATTCTCTCTCTGGAATATGGCATGGCACCATCTGTGTGTGGCCACACTTAGAAATAGTTTTCTCTACCTTCACCACACATTTTCCGCAGGACTCATAACATGGCTTTGTGCAGCGGTGCCCATCTGCACAAAGCACCTTTTGACAAGGCTTCAGGCACTGGTAATCTTTRTGCTTCGGGTCATATGGGTGACATGCCCTTGCACAAACATGTCCACAACTCAATCTAAACTCACAGGGACGACTACAGCCTCCCTCCGGGACTCTGTTGAAGTCYTCACCTGTAGATACCTGGGTCTTGGTTTCAGGGTGGTTTTGACAGCAAAGYTCCAGTGACTGGCCAATGTGACCATTCTCCTCAAGGGTTTGAATGATCTTGCTCCAGAGAGGAACCTTGCCAAGCATTCTCATGTTTCCAATACAATACAGCCCTTTCTTAGCTCTGGATAATGCCACACATATCCGATTAGGGATCTTCAAGAACCCAGATCTCTCCTCTTCATTGCTCCGCACCAGTGACAGCAGAACAATATCATTCTCCTCCCCCTGGTACTTATCTACTACATGAACCTTCACACCTTCAAAGATCTTCGCTGGCATGAGCTTTTGCAGACAGAAGAGCTGTCCAGTGTAAGTAGTGAGAATGGTGATCTTAGAAGGTTCATAGCCCTGACATAAGAAGTATTTGCAYAGTTCCACTACAAAGTGGGCTTCATGTGGGTTCTGGTGGCTTTTCCCTTCCTGAATCTCTTGCTCAGGAACCTGATGTTCCACAAAGAAGACGTTAGTTGAGACGCCCTGAAACAAGAGGAAGGACATCGCAAAGGGAAGTCTAGTTTCTGTAGCCCCAGCCTGTTTCCATGTCCCTGATTATCCACTAATTGGAGCACTTTTAAGCAGATTATTACAGTATGGAGTTACTGTGTATTTAGGTGATTTCCTCCYAGATTTCCATAGTTTATTAATCAAATTGCAATTTCAGCTTATTGGTAACACTTCAGTATCCTAATATGAAATCAMTTCCTGTGGATAATTTTATTCTCTATCTTTCCAGAGAAGTTTCTACTGTACCTTTCCAAAAGAGAACAAAAGAGAACTKGAAGTGTTAGTAACATTTTTCAAAGCATATTAATGGTGTGAACAATGTCTTGTTTTGGCCCTGTGGGAAAAAGATACCAAGTTACCAGTGCACAAGGCTTAGCACTTGCCTAAAACATGTCTTCTCTGTTGCTGCAATAAAAACAAGGCAACAAGGAAGATTGCTTTTTCACCGGRAAAACTAGGAATGCTAGGACTCCAGTAGTCACTTACCAGCTCATGGTATGTGGAGTTGACTGCTCACCTGTTCAGAAATTCTATTTGCCTTCAGTTAGCAGGGACTTTSATTTATTTTACCTATTAACTGAAATTATTCTACTTGTAAGAAATTATTGTCCTACCTGCCAAAACCCAGAGACTAATTTTATCAGGAAAGAACTTTTTGTAGATCAAACCTAGATCTCTAGTTTTACAAGGTGTCCATAGTGGCCTAGTGTCCAGGGTAGAAGAATTTAATTCAGTCATCACCTACATTGGTTGTTGTACTAGCTGGGAAGATTCAATTTTGGTTGGATTTTGGAGGGGTGGTTGTTTGGGTTTCTAATTTATTTAACTAAATTATCATCTACAAAGACTTGATCTGGATTTCAAGATACCAAAAGAGGACCTGCCACCTTCCCAGACAGCTTATTCTAATAATTAAATCTTCACTATTAATTTTCTCTTGTCTGACTTCAGCAGTCTGCTATAGTTTTCACTATGCTTCCCTCATCCAGTTAAAAAACTTTTACCTAATTAGTACTGTTTTTTTTATGAAGACAGATTTGCATAGGCTAAGCTATTGTTATGCTACTTCTTTATCTGCCTCCAGTCCTTCTCTCAGGGAATTCAGTGGCTTGTGTTTCAGAGATCCAAGGCCATCAGTGTAAAAGTGTAACCTTGGCTCAGACTTCTGGGAAAATAGTTCAGTTTGTGACAGAGAGYTGTGAGCGGGTCTGCAGCAAACAGGCTGTGCAAGATATGCAAGGGAAAATTCTGGACAGAGAGATGATTGTTAATAGTTCAAAGATGCAAGAAAAGCACCAACATAGAGATACATGAAGTCCTGATTAGGGCRAGGAAACAAAAATCAGAAAACAGGGAGTAAGTGTTAAGATGGAAACTCAGAACCATTAAGGAAGAAACAAAAGCTGACATTTGTGTCTAATACCTAAAGAAAGCATTCTAATAACTTACTAAATTCTGGCTGTTTATAGTGCATGTTAGATAATAAGTGATTACTTTATACTTGCATAGATTTTCTTTGCAGATGTTGTGTATTGGTAAAATCCCCAAAGGAAGAACCCAAGGAAAAAGGGTTCCTGTAATCTAGTCACCTATCTTGTAYTGGAGTTTCACATACTATGCTTTAAGTCTTTAATTTAAAATTTCTTCTTAACTTTGAAACTCCTACAATTCTTTTGTTTTCTCATCCATTTTTTACTGTTCTTTTAAAGTCWTTGGTGTTGGATTCCATCACTAATGCCAGAAGAACTACAAATTACTAATTCTGTATCACACAATTCCTTGGTTTGGGTGTAAATTTCAGTAACTGAATTTGACCTAAGAGTTTGAAATCCTTGATTAGTGTATTTTGCAAAAACTCATTTAGCCAGTAACAGGGGACTTGTATTGCTGAAAACTCACTTTTATATTCTCATATTCCAGGACAGAAGGATGGTTCTCCAGTTTCTGGTATATATGAGGACTGATAAGTTGGGCAATTTCAGGGCGCATGCGGTGCTGAAACACAAAACAGTTTTATCAGTCTTGAGGAAGGAGCATCATATTTCCTTGTCAATATTCTGTTGCTCCACTGTACAAACTGTGGCTGAATACAAGACAAGGATGACTTTTCAATAAAAATAAGAAGAGAGAACTTCCCAACCCCTGCACTCTTCCACCCTATTGCTGACACCACCACCAACTACAGGAGTGGTATAGCAGGGTATTTTCAAAAAAATCTCTTGGTAAGGTTGTTGTACAACAGTGCTGATTTCAGTGCAAATCTAAGCACACTTATAGATAACAAAAGCCAGCACTTCACCCTAACTACTAAATGAGCTCTTCCAGGTACCTTTAATACAAGACTGCTGGTGGTAGAATTAACTTCCCCAGACACAAAGATAGTTTATTATAGCATTTTAGCAGGAAGCAGCCTGAGAAGAATTGTGCTGTCTCACTTTGTAAACTTCTGGAAGTTTCAGTTGCCACAACAAACCATGTTCTTTGCACAAAAATGTGAGAACCACAGTGCTGTAGACATATCACAAAATAACTGAAAATACACTGGAATTCTGTTTATCTCAGTTTGCTCCTSCCATTCTTCTCAGAAGTTAGATAGYATATTCTTTTCTTTTGGGCTGCTCTTACAGTATAAATAAAAACATAAGTGTATTGCAAACTTAAAACAACCTAAATGCAAATGCCATGGAGTTTTTTGTAGTTCTTCCTTACTTGATATTTCAGACAGACAAAGGGGAAATTCACTTTGATCAGACGTTCAAAGAGAGAGACTTCGAGGTTGAAGTTCTTGGCCAGGTCATATACGTTAGCACTAGGCTGCAACTGAAAGAGAAGGGACAGGAGGTCCATGTTTTAGCGTTTGTCCTATGTTGTTAGTAAGATTTCTCACTCTCATTTTCTGTGGCTGGTACCCTACTGAAAGGTCAGAGACTGGATTCTTGCAGAAGTGCTAAATATCAAAGCTAGATACAGTCACAATTGAAGCACATCTGAAATTGTATCAGTTGAACGAAAACAACAGTTCCATAGGAGCTCTAGTCTAAAACTACAGGAGACAGGACCTATGGTGTCTGTGGAAGGTGGAGAGCAACAAACCTTGGCAATTTTCACACATTGTGTTTGTTTAGATGGCTCTAGTTCATTAGCACAGCAGATGGAGACATTAGTAATGAAAATTACCTGCTGGTGATCTCCAATGAGGATGAGGTGCTGGCAATCTTTACTCAGAGTAGTAATGGTGTGAGCCTCGAGCACCTCTGCTGCCTCTTCTACAATTACGATTTGTGGCTTTATGTGCTGCAAGATCCGTCGGTATTTGGCAGCACCTGAGCAAGGACAGAAGATAAACCTTAGGATGTAACTACACTCAAGCAGTAAGACAAGTTTTCACAGAGAGGAGTAGGCTCTGTCCCAGAAAAGACTGGGATTCTTCCCAATATTCCCCATTTCAACACTCAGATTTTTGAATCCATACCTGGCTTCTCTATGAAGAGTTATTAAAGAAGGCAGGTGGGAATTATTCCTATGCTTACCTTAGTCCTTTCTCAATTGAGACAAAAGATATACTCAATACATTGTTCTACACACATAAATAAGCCTATGTGGTCTCTTCAAAGGGACATACTACAACGACCTTGACATTACCATCTCCAGAAGTTRCTGGAGATATCCTGGAATAGCAATATAGACATTAGCTGTGCCTTACTCAGGCACAAGTGGTGCAGTTCCATTACAAGAATGCTGCTYAAGATGGGGGAATGCAAAAGGGCTCTGAAGCTGCTCATGCCACTAATTGACAACCCTCAAAACCGCCCCACTTGCAAAGAGAGCCAGAGATTAAAAAGGCTCCAGACCCAGGCTGTGAAGCAGCACAGATGATACTAATCCGTCAGCAAAAAGGTTCTTTAAACATGACTGGAAGCAATACAATACTGGTTTGTTTCCCAACTGCTCTGCACCTGTGGTTGTCATCCCCACAATTCTGGCCTCTTGGAGAATGAAGAGATCTTCCTTYAGCTTCAGTTCTTTCATTCTTTCTGCTGCATCCTGATACTGCTGTTTACTCTCCCGAATGTCCTCTAGAATAAAACTCCGGTAAGTCTCCAGCCAAAGCCTGGGAAAAAAGAGCCATTATCACCCACTGCAGGGAAAACAGGATGGTGATCCACAAATTCTGAATGGATTCAGTTCAAAACTTTCCCTGTGTCTTTTGGGTAACAGATTATTACCATCTGTACTTAGTCCTGAACTTGTACAAATGCAGGGGATAACATTGCWTCCCATGCAGTACAAGGAAGGTAGTAACAAGCATGTTCAAACAAGGAGTTGAACAGATAGAGGCAGAAACATCACRGCTTGACACAGTTTGCAGCCTGGAACAATCCTAGGAAACACTTGCCTGACAGGCCCTGCAAAATAGCTCTGTCACCTGTAAAGCCTCCAGCGAGAGTTCAGGTCAAGTTTCCACAGATCCTGAATAGCATCGGCCTCTAACTCTGTCATTGCCTTCACTTTAGGGAGCGTAAGCTTCATCTTCTGCTTCATTTTCCTCCTCTGTCCAGGAGCCACCTGCAAAAAAAAAAAAAAACAAAAAAAACCCAACTCTTAAAAAAGCACTTATAGCACAAGGATTCTTTTGTGTTAGCATCCCCATGTTATTCTTTAAATAGTCATATTAATGCATACAGTTACCTCCCACTGCATGGTCTGCTGTAGTGGTTGAGCTGTTCCTTCTTCCTGGTTCAGCTTCACAGCCAGCATGGCACTGGCTAGTTCATTAATAGCTCTGTCCTCTTCTTCCTTCCTCCTCTGAGGGTTTGCTATCTTTTCATCATCAATCATTCTCTCAGCTTCAATCAGGTCAGCCATCTCTGGGATCGCCAAAAGTTCCTCTTCTGCTTCACCTTCCCCCTTGTCCTCTCTTTCCTSCTCACCACCTGTGACAGTCACCAGTTACATGCAGTAAGCCACAGCCACTCTACCAGTGCAGCAATCAGATCACTATGTGGAAATTAGGGCTAATCTGCTTTCCACTCCTCCACAATATCACACATCATTCTGTGCCTGCTAAGTAGCAGGGTCTCTTTTCTGGCACACATTGCTCTGCTTAGGCAAACACACTTGTAAGAGGATGTGTGGGGGGYTGGTGTCTTTTTTGCGTTAAGTTTTTTTGTTTTGTTTGCTTTACCTGGATTTTCAGCCCATATACCCTCTGCAGCATTCGGGGTGAAGACAGATTCATCGGGGACCAACCACTCCATAATTATTGAACCATTGTAGTGTAACCCAGCGCCCTCCTAATGCAAGAAAAGTCGAATCAGTCAGGGCTATTGCACTTCAGAGTCCTAGGGTGGTGCCAAAGCAGCACCTAACAGCAGCAGGCAACTAGGAAAAGTCCCCGAGAGACTCTACAGAGCTAGAAACTCTCCAAGCAGCCCCAGACCTTCAGAAAGGGCACCCCTCTTTCCCTTCAGTTTAAGAAGCTTTCGTTTAGTCACTTGGATTGTTACGCTGCTAAAGATCACTTAGAATCCCTGCAGTTTAAAGGAGCAAAATTCAAAGCCCCTGCTTGCCCYGCCTGGTCCAGACTACTGTCATTTGGCACAGCTCACAGTTCACTGCCTTACTTTCCCAATAACCAAATGATGCTCATGATGGTAAAAAGATGTGTGCTGGGGGAACCTCAGACCCGTTAGCAGAAAGGACGGTATGCATGCACTGGGATTGCTTGACTCAGAAGAAAGGGACCTCTCTTACCAGATCCTTCATCAGGCTGGCCCAGTGCTGGGGAGCAATATGCGGTTTCAAGTAGCGCTCATGCAGAATTCCATAGGTCGTGCATGTCAATCGATCTGCTCTTTCAAGGAGCTCCTGCTCAACATCTTCCATCTCAGTCTTTATCTACGCATAACAAAGAGAAGGGAGTCAGCATCACACTCAGAGAAACAAAGTTTGGAAACACACAAAAAGCTGACAGAAGAATTAAGATGCCAAATTTAGCATAAAACAAGGTGAGAGACATTGTGTGGGGGAGGTTTATCATCTCCTCCAATGCACAGGCAACCCAGTACCAGCATTCCAGGGAGATCTGCACATACATTTTCATAAGCTCTGGGAAGGTAGTCTGGGAAGTCTTCTCTTTGAACAAACACCTTCCTCAGCTCCTTTAAGGTGCATCTGTGCAGGGCCAAACTGCTACTCCTGCCCCCAACACGCACTATCCCATCTCTTTGAAATGAGAGTATTCCTGTGAATGAAAGAAAAACATTAGAACTAGGAGGCCAAGCTCAGTTTTCAGCAACAGGACAAGAGGTAGGAAAAACACCTTTTGTCTGCAAATCCTACAGTGGTTTGCTCTAAGTGAAGTTTTTTTAATCTATGTCAMTGGGGCCAGAGTCACCAAAAAGAAGGTTAGCATGCCATAAGATGAGCAGAGTAAGAGTTACAGTATAGATTCTAATTACACATTCTAATAACAGGTTGCATGGAGAATTTGTGAATGCACTATTCCCGTGTGGTGTTCAAGGACAGGCTGGACAGAGCTTGGAGCAACCTGGTCTAGTGGAAGGTGTCCCTGTCCATGGCAGGTGGGCTGGAACTAGATGATCTTTAAGGTCCTTCCAACCCAAACCACTCTATGATTCTACCTCCATCCTACCTCCATAGCTACTCTTACCTTCTAAGAACTGATCCARTGCATGGTTAGTGTAGCAGACTATAAGAATGGGACTGTAAGTCCTTTGCCACATGGACGCATTAGTCAAGAGAGCCTGAACAATCTTCAAACCCACGTAAGTCTTCCCTGCAAAAAAAGCTCAGAATCATAAAAGGATATTCACCATTTATGAATGCCTTGAAACATAGAAACCATCAAAAATGGATACAAGTCTCATTTCTAGGCTGCCAATCTGGTCTGTACCAAGAGAACTGACCCCAGGGTTAACTAGGTTACAAAATGTAGACGAAGTAGTATGACACTGACTTTCTGGCCTGTGGTTGAGTCAGGCCACAATCTGCAAGAATGTTGTTTTTTGGATATACAGCAAACCTGGACACAAGGTTTTCTCTTTCACTGCATMCCCCAGCCCACTCTGATACTGGTGTCATATGTGACATTGGCTGCATGTAAAACATCCACATACTAGTAGAATGCAAGCACTGGTGCTTGTTTAGTTCAGGTACCATTTTAAAAAATTGAATTRTTCTTGTAATACTTTATTCAGAAAATGGTTCATGGCTGAATGCTGCCAATGCTCTCACATGCCATGAAGACAAGTAGGAGAGTGCTGCACAGCAAGAGGGACCATGTTCTCAAAGGTGATTGAAAACTTTTTCACCCCAATATGCAAGTGCAACAAACAGTGCAGCTGGTGTCTACTCGCATCTAGGTGGGCACAGATCAGACATGGGTATCTGAGGATATTAACTGTCTCCATAGGTCACGCTATCTGGGCCACTCAATCATTAATTAGTCACAGGACTAAAGCTTTGGAGACAGTACAGCTGGCTTTCTCTGAAGTTAATCTACCCAGATAGGGGAATCAACGAGAACTCCTTAGATTACAGAGCCTTTAAGCAAATATTTCTCACCAGTGCCAGGAGGTCCTTGGATAATAGCCAGYTCCTTGGTGAGTGCAAGATTCAATGCCTGAATCTGAGAGTCATCCAATTTCAAGGCTTCCATTGAAAGCCATTGATTGGGATCTAGAACACAGACACTTCTCAAGGTATCGGGGCACTTCTCTAGACGTGAAGTCTTCACCAAGGGTGCAAAGTTGTAGGCAGTATCCTCTGTCAGGTACGCCGGCTCCTTCACATCTGCATCACATTCCACAATGTACTTCGGGAATGGGATATCTTCTTTCYGCATTTCCTGCAACCCTTCTAACACATGCCGATAGGCCTCAAAGTAGGCAGTTGTCTCTACCATGAGGAAAGAGTCTGAGGGTCGGACATCGTCAAGCAGTAGCTGGCTCTCTTCATCAAAACACAGCTCCACATTCCCATTGACAAGTTCTGCAGCATTACGATTAGAAACAGTGGCGAAAAGGAATGTTTCAAAGTGATCTTGGGACATGCAGACCAGGGATCCATAGATCAATCGTTTAGAATTCTGCCACTGAACAAACCTCAATGGTTTTGTGTCAAATTGGACCTTGTAAGCAATACCAGTTGAGGTACAACGCAGGGCAATAATCCGTGTGTCAAAGTAGATCCTGATATCATCAAATTTTTTCTTTCTCAAATTTCTGTCCTGAAGGCTCTGCAAAACCTCCATGATACCTTCCCTTAAAGGCCTCACAAAGTCTTCTCTCAAAAGTCGGAAGTGGGTGTCAAGATAAATGCTGGCACTTTCATATCTTCCAGAAACAATATTGGGATGTAGAAAAGGTTTCTCATTACAGTGTACCTCATCATATGTTGGATAAATGCTCATGAAACGATAGGTTTCTTCTTGSCCGTCTTGAGGTTTCATAAATGTACAGTTATCAGTCCTCAGTGTGCCTTCACGTCTCTTTTCCTGCAGATGCTGCATGAGCATCTGGACTCTATTGAGATTCTTCTCTGTCTCTTCTGTGATGGTCACACCAGAAGCTCTCARGGCATTTACGGATGCTGGCAAGACTGTCAAGAGAATGGAGACTYTCTGTACAGAGCTGGCTGGGAAAGTACTGATCAGGTCCTGAAGAAGTGAAATGATGTTGCTGATATGCTCAGGGTACTCACGGCGTACAGCAGGAACTACTTCTGTTACCATGTCAGACACATACTGTGGCAGACAGATCTTGAGAAAGTTGGACTCCCTCACCACTCCAAGAAGCTTTTGGACATTCTGTCTATCCATTTGGGAACTGCATGCTTTTTGAAGTACCCGGCAAATGAGCTGAACGAAATTGTGGTTCATAGTTGTTTGGGAAAGAAGTTCCTTCAACCCCGAACTGGAAGCAAGTGTGATGACAACTTCTGAGGGGTCTTTCTCSAGGAGACTTTCCAGGAATTTATAGCCAATCCTTCTGACTTGCCGAGGCTGCTCACTGTAGTGGGCACCACCTGGGTTAACAATCTGGCAGAAATGAGGGTTCTCCTGAGGTTGCATCCTCTGCCTGCTACCTTCATTTTCCCACCCACTCCTCAGCCCTCTCCCTCTATCTCTTCTCTGAGCTTGTCCACCTTGATATCTTCTTCCCCTGCCTCCATTTTCTTGCTCATTCCAGGATCCTCTGGTCCTCTCAYGGGCTTGTCCAAGCTGATACCTCCTTCCTCTAAATACATTTTCTTGCTCATTCCAGGGTTCTCTGTCCCTATCATGTGTTTGCCCACCTTGATACCTCATTCTCCTTCCCTCATTTTCCTGTTTAGTCCAGAATCCAGTGGTTCCACTGTTGGCCTGTTGACCTTGGCTTCTTGGCTTGTTTTTACTTGATTCAGGCACCTTTACAATTAAACTGCCAAATCTCTSTTCTCTTTGCCCAGGTGGAGGAATATAATTACTGTCTTGGAGGTTTTCCCCTAACTGAGGTGTCCGGCCTGTTCTGCTCCTTCCTATAAAGCCGGTGTCCAAATGAAGTACATGCCCTTAAAAAAAAAAAAAAAAAAAAAAAAMAMTCCTTAATTATAAATCAACCACATTAACACACCTCCCAACAAAGATGCATGGGCATATTGGCCAGACAGTCAGCATTTGGCATCAAGTTAAAAAATGATTACATTTGCACACAGACTTTCAAATTCATGACTCATTTGTACCCCCGTTTTTAACTGCTAAAGAGAGTGCAATGCTTGGAGTTCACTTGAGTTAAACAGACACTAAAAACCAAAATTTTTTCCACAGAACTGAAAGCAGAAATAAGATGAAGTTTCCTGCATTTCCTCGGGAGTTAGTCGTCAGTGAAACAATGACAGAGGCAGCCGCAGCTGACTTGGACTGGCTGTATACAGCACATTCAAACATGGAGCTTCTGGTTAAAGTCCAGCTTTTCGGAGTAGCCGGAAGCACAGGCTATAGAGCCTTTGTCAGGGTCGCCACGGGACGCTTAGGGAAGCACTGACTGCCAAGAGGAACAAATAGCAAAAGGCTGCTGCGACCCAAMAGGGCCCTGAACAGATTCCAAGGGCAAATAGGGAACTGTTGAAACTCAGCCCTGAGGGAAAATTTCGCTGTATACAAGCAGAGGAGTAGCGGATTCCCCTGCACCAGCACCACCCCCATCTCTCCAGCCCTGCATTCCCCGGGAGACCCTCACCTCTCGCTCCAYCTCGGGGGTGCCGAGGACCCTCCTGCCCAGGACCCTCCATCGCCCGGCCGGGGACTCCTCTGGGTCTGTTCCAGCTCTGCGGGGCGAGGACAGCGCTGGGCGCTGGGGACCGTGGCGCTCCTGCCTCCGCACACGGGCGATGCTGCGCAGCGCGATCCGCACAGCTCGGGAGCCGCCGGCTCTGCCCCGATACCCAAGAGCGCTTCCCCTTCCAATTCCCCGTAAAGTTTTACTTTCCAGTTCCCCGCAAGTCCCGCCCGGTGGGCAGAGCCCTGTACAGCTCGTCACTGGCGGGCAGCGCCCCTGAAASGGAGCTTCTCCTTCTTTCTCCGCGGGAAGGGAAAGCGAAGAGAAGGAGAAGGAAAAAGAAGAAGAAAGGAAGCGCAAGGGAAAGGAAGCGCAAGGGAAGGGAAATGCAAAGGATGGGAAACACAGCCTAGCACCACCTATCCCACCCTGCCACCATTGCTTTCGGTTTCCTTTCCCGGCATTGCGGGGCGGGGCAGCCGCGGCTCTGCCCACCCTCCCGGGTCCGGCCCCTCGCCCGGCCCCCGGCCCGGCCCAGCGCACGCGTGTGCCGCGGGGTTCCRGCTGAGAGCCATGGCCACGCTGGAGAGCCTGGGCCTGGTGGGCACCATCGCCGAGGGGGACGTGGTGCCCGTGGACTCCGAATCTGACGACTCCGAGGATGAGGAGGTGCGGCCGGGTGGGCGCGGGAGCCGCGGGCCGGGCCGGTGTGGCGGGGCCGTGGCGCGGTCCTTGCTCACGGGTRTTACCGCAGGAGCTGCCCCGGGCGCCGGGCTCCAGGCGGCGGGGACCTTCCCGCGGGGACTTCAGCGCCGACTTCGTGTTCGAGGAGGTGGAGGCCGGCGGGGWGGACGCGTGGACGGCGGCACTGCGGCAGCTCCGCGGCAAGGTGAGGCCTAAGGCCGGATGGAGCTGCGGTGCCAGAGGCCACAGCGCCCGCTGCTCTCTCGAGCTCCTCTTACAGCTTCTCTGTTGTGATTTTCTGCCTAGAAAGCAGCTACGACGCTGGATGAAAAGATTGAGAAAGTGAGACAGAAAAGGAAGCTCCAGGTAAGGGTCTTTCTCATTGCTGAAAAGACTGATATRTGTTTGGCTATTCCCTCAGCCACAGTGCTCTGGCTGCAGCTCATCACTTCAGCTGGGTTTGCTGCCACATGTCATGTGTTGCTGAACAGATGAGGCTGCAGAATTATTAATGATTAAAGTTATGCAGAACCATGGATTTGTGAATGGACTTATAATAGTAARCACAGGGTTACAAAGGATTGAAGTTTCTTCTTCATCCTTTCTTCTTAAGACATTTTTGGAGTTATATTTTTTTAGGAAAGAGAAGCTAAACAAGCAAAAGTGAAAGATGAAGATGCTGAGGCTGAAGATGATCAAACCAAAAAGGAGTGTGAGGATTGYAGTAGGGATGAAGAAGATGAGGAATCTGAGTATTCAATGGATGATGAAAGTATCTACACAAAAGCAGGTATCAGCTATACAATAGCCGTAACTAAACTCTTCCCTGAAGAAGGGTATTTACTTAGCAATTTTATTCCATTATGTGCCTCTGTTTGTTTCTGAGGCTTCTTCCCCAGCATCTCAATTGACAGCAAAAAGTATGAGGTTATAAGATTAAGATAGTTCACAACATCTTGTTATGTGTTTAGCTGTTAATTCCTGTCACATTTCTTAATTCCTGTCACATTTCTCTTTCTCTCCAGATAAGGTCAAAGTGAAGGAAAAGAGGAGATCAAAAAAGGGAAAAGCAGTAAGTGTTAAAAACTAGTCAAATTCCTGCATAATTTCTTGTGGAGRTATTTGGCTTGATTAACAAACCATAGCTCAAAAACCAGCCCAGAGCCCTTTGGTAACATGTTATGTTGCTGCCTGTGTTGTTCCAGTTTTGTTGTTGTTCCTGTTTCTAGGAAGCAGAGAGCTTTTTTGAAGATGCCTCTCAATATGACGATAACCTGTCATTCCAGGACATGAATCTTTCACGACCTTTGCTAAAGGTATTTACCTGGTTTATTTATTACACATGTTATTCTGAAGAATGTTGTATAGACTCCCTGCCACCTATTAGAACTGTCAAATTCCTCTTCTCTTTGCAACCTCGTTAAAAATAAAATTATTTGGGAGCTAGTGTGATAGTCCTTTAGGAGCTGTTATTACAAGTTAATGGAAACTATTCTTTGATTTGCAATGTGTCAACACCATCTTGAGTGAGACTTTTCACAGCATGGTTGAGGTTGGAAGGGACATTGGAGATCCTCTTGTCCAACCCCTGCTCAAGCAGGGCCACTTAGAGCTGCTGCCCATGAACATGTCCAGATAGCTTTGAATATCACCAGGGATGGAAACTGCAACCTCTCTGTCCACCTAGTGCCTGTGCTAAGTCACCCTGAGGGAGAAAAAGTGTTTCCTGGTGTTCAGAGGGAACCTGTGTTTCAGTTTGTGCCCATTGCATCTTTCTCTGGTCACCACTGAWCAGAGCCTGGCTCCAACCTCTTTTCACCCTCCCATSAAGTATTTATTGACATTGACCAGTTTCTCCTTGAGCCTTCTCTTCTCCAGGCTGAGCAGTCCCAGCTTTATCAGCCTTTCCCCATACATGAAGTGCCTCCAAGCCCTTCATAATTCTTCGTAGCCCTTTGCTAGTCTCCAGTATGTCCATGTCTCTTGTGCTCAGAAGTCCAGAGTTTCACACAGTACTCTAGGTGTGGCCATGCCAGAGACAGAGTTTAATTGCTCTCTCTCCTTTGTAGGCAGTCACAGCTCTTGGCTTCAAGCAACCAACCCCAATTCAGAAGGCTTGTATTCCAGTGGGTCTTCTGGGAAAGGATATTTGTGCTTGTGCTGCCACTGGGACAGGTAGGGGCTTGAGCAGGCCATAGGAAACGCGGAGAATTAGCTATTCACAATAATTGGTAACTCTTCCTAATTTTTGTCTTTAGGTAAAACAGCTGCCTTCATCTTGCCTGTCCTTGAGCGCCTGATTTACAAACCTCGCCAGGCTCCGATAACACGTGTACTGGTTCTGGTGCCAACACGAGAACTGGGTATTCAGGTCCACTCTGTCACAAAACAGCTGGCACAGTTCAGCAATGTCACAACTTGCCTTGCAGTAGGTGAGTACTGACATGAACTGTGCAGCTCAGTGTAAACCATTACACAAAACTGGGAATTCTGTGTGTAAAACTGGAGGCTATATGGTTATTATACTTCTAGTAGATATGTTTTGGTTTAAAATCTTACTTTCCAATATTGTGCTGTACTTATTTTGTGGTTTCTGGGAAAGAAAATATGGGGTCACTTCCATATATGAATGTGGTTTAATCTGAGGTGTTTCCCATTCATCAGGCAGTTTGCATCCATCTGCTTGGGGGTCCAGCAATTTGTATTCTCTCTCTTTCAGGTGGTCTGGATGTGAAGACTCAAGAAGCAGCTCTACGCTCTGGGCCAGACATTCTCATTGCCACTCCTGGGCGACTGATTGATCATCTCCACAACTGCCCTTCTTTCCACCTGAGCAGTGTTGAGGTGCTGATTTTGGATGAAGCAGACAGGTAGGRTAAGCAGGACAGCAGTGAAAAACATAGGAGTTTTCTGCTTTTCTYTTCCCAGGCTATAGGGCTGTCCTTGTTGTCCTGACTTATGTAATGTTTTTTAGCTAGGACCAGGTGAAGCTGCTTTACCTTGCTGTTTTTCTTCTGTGTAGGATGCTGGATGAATACTTTGAAGAACAGATGAAGGAAATAATCAGGTTGTGTTCTCACCACCGTCAGACAATGCTTTTCTCTGCCACAATGACTGAGGAGGTAAGGCAAGCTTCTGGGAAGCATATTGAGGCAGGAAGTTGAATGGGAGTTTGTTTGGTCCTTTGCCAGAAATCACGTGGACTATTTTTTTCTTAACCTGTTTCTGTAGGTGAAAGATTTGGCTTCGGTATCCCTGAAAAATCCCGTCCGAATTTTTGTGAACAGCAACACAGATGTTGCGCCTTTCCTGCGGCAGGAATTTATCCGTATCAGACCCAACCGAGAGGGGGACCGTGAAGCCATTGTAACAGGTCAGTGWTGAGTAAAGACAGGCTGGAATCAGTGAGGGACTGTGGAGCAGGCTTCTGAGAGGACTTTCTTGCAGCTCTGCTGACACGAACATTCCAAGATCATGTGATGCTCTTCACGCAGACCAAGAAGCAAGCTCACCGCATGCACATCCTGCTTGGACTGATGGGCCTGCGGGTGGGAGAGCTTCATGGGAACCTCTCTCAGACACAGCGGCTGGAATCACTCAGGTATTAGCAGGTTTACTTGCAATCCTCAGCTAAAAAGAGGTTCCAAGTTGAAAGTTTTAGTGCAGAGGTAGATTGCTACATTCATTGCCGCTAATGCGTTTGCTTTCTCTGCTCAGGCGCTTTAAGGATGAGCAGATTGATATTCTGGTAGCTACAGATGTGGCTGCACGTGGACTTGATATTGAAGGTGTTAAAACRGTGAGTATTTGGGGCACTGAGCTTTGTAATGGGCCTTTCATGTTCTTTCCCTACTAACACTGTTTCTGTTACAGGTAATCAATTTTACCATGCCTAACACCATCAAACACTACGTCCACCGTGTGGGTCGGACAGCCAGGGCAGGSAAGGCTGGTCGTTCAGTCTCACTTGTGGGTGAGGAAGAGCGGAAGATGCTGAAGGATATTGTCAAGACTGCTAAAACAGCAGTGAAAGCCAGAATCCTCCCCCAAGGTATGTCCTTCACTGAGGGAAAGAGCAGGAGAGGATATGCAGGGAATGTGGTAAAGGAGGTGCTGAAAAACAAGATGAACTTACAATGAGATGAATGTGATATTCATATGGTATTGTTTTCAGATGTCATATTAARATTTCGGGAGAAGATTGAGAATCTAGAGAAAGATATCTATGCAGTTCTTTGCTTGGAGCGTGAGGAACGYGAGATGCAGCAGTCAGAGGCCCAGGTAAGCAATTTAAGAATTTTTTTAGTATCTGGTTAGATACAGTCCACAATGAGGTTACCCTAAATGTAGTTAACCTGCCTACTTTAGAAAGGGAAGAGGGGTGTATTTTTTAGCCATCATGCAYTCACTGCTTTCCTGAATTACCACAGATCAACAAGGCAAAAAAGCAGCTGGAGTCAGGAAAAAAAGAAAGTGGAAGTGACGGTTTGGAGAGAAGTTGGTTCCAGACCCGTGAGGAGAGGAAGAAGGAGAAATGTGAGTCATGACACTGTTGCTATGTAACATTCTATAGCTGCAGCTGGCCTCTGCTCTRTGCTTTAAGAGGTCCTTTATTCTGTTTTTCTTCCTATTTCCAGTGGCTAAAGCCCTGCAGGAATTTGACCTAGCACTACGAGGGAAAAAGAAAAGGAAGAAATTTGTACAGGACACAAAGAAAAAAGGCCAAATGACAGTGAGTACATTGGTGAACAATTGGGATCCTGGGTG